CCCCAAAACCCCAAAACCCCAAAACCCCAAAACCCCAAAACCCCTGAAACAAATCTTAATATTGAAAAATATCATAAATGGAGGTTGACCCAACTAAAGCCAGAGGCCATATTATCTCAGATGAAACCTTTTGATTCACTGAGGATCTGTGCAAGCTGTATCACCTTTGTATCGGGTTTAACAAAGACCCTCTTGATGAAGATGATCTCAAATTTACCTATGAATATGATGATGATTTCACTACATTCCCAACGATTTGTCTACTAGCAATGAAATAATATTCATCTCAAGGTGTTTGATACCCCTGGACTTCCTAGTCTAAAGCCAGAGCAGCTACTTCATGGAGAGCAAATTGTTGAGTCGTTTAAATCAATTATCCCTGGCTCAACTGTTAAATGTATTGCATCAGTTGAAGATGTTGCTGACAAGATCAAAGGCATGCTAGTTACAATCAGAATAGATATTCTAGATCCTGACGACAATGAAATACATTATTCAAGGTGATATATGAAATGATATGTAAAAGGTTGTGGTGGATTTGGAGATAAAGGTATATTGGATCTAAAAATACCTTCTCCTCCAACCAGAGATCCAGATGATATCTTAGAAATTCAGACAGATAAAAGGCTTGCTCTTTTCTATAGACTTTGAGGAGACCTTAACCCACTCCACATAGTCCCAAAAGCTGCTCAATCAGTTGGCTTCCCCAGCCCCATTCTTCACGGTTTGTGCACATACGGAATCATAACAAACGCCATCTACAAGACCTACTGCCCCCAAGATCATACCTCAATAAAAAAAATCAGTGCTAGATTCGCTTCACCTATCTTCCCCGGAGAGACCATAACCCTCCACCTCTACAAATCCGACTGCTCAATCTTCTTTACTGCCTTCACATCCCCCTCTCTCCCCGCCTGCATAGGAGTAATTTCCCTCTCTTCCACTGCCAAACTATAATTTCAGCCTGCCCAATCACTTCTTCTGCCACTGGGGTTTTGGGGTTTTGGGGTTTTGGGG